TGGGCTGGCTGCGGCGGCGCACGAAAGGTCACCGCGGCGGCATTCCTCTCCCGCGCGCTGTTTACGTGACTTAATGTACTTCATACGCCGCTGGTAAGTTAGAGCCGCGATAAGGGGGTGGCCAGAGGAGGGTCGCTGTAAAAGCCCCACGCTGGGCGCCTTCTAGCCCTCCCCTCATCCATTAACCTTTTTACTTTCTTCGGCTCTCTCTCTTTTTTAAAGCTTGTTATCTAGGCCACCCAATGGCCGACGAAAGATTTTTTCCCTCCCTGCTTCTCCGATGGCTGCTTTAAGCCAAATAAATTCAGCTATTAAGGGCCAAGATGTCTGACAAAAAGATCGAAAGGTGTCTTTCCTTGATCGCTTAAAGAAGCGAAGGAGAAGTTTGTGGCTTTCCAGTCCCGATAAAGAAATTCCATGCAGGCGCCTGTCTCTCTCCACCCCCTGCGCAGCCCGCCTGCGCCCTGTCACCCAGAGACCCGGACTTCAGCAGCTTCAGACCTGGGGTGGACCCGCCGGCCGGATGTGTGGCCGCTGGCCGAGGAATGGGGAGGCACCCAGATGGCTGGGCCTGAGAGTGCCAGCCCTGAGAGAAGCTAGGGGTTCTCAAATGCCCCGCTTGCCCCAGAAAAACTAAATAGCTCAATCCCAACCCAAACCAACCCCCCACTTCCGTCAAATCCATTGACTGGTAGTCACCCTGTTGGACAGAACAGAAACACCCTCCCAGGGTTTCCAAGGAGAAGCAGACTGCTCCACCTTTCTCCTTAGGGTGGTGGCTACCAACCACTGACATCCCAGTTGGCAGTGGGCACTTAACCACTGCGCCACTAGGGTTCCTTAAACAAGAGTTCAGTAGCACCTAAACTACTATCTCATTTGGTTGTGTTCAGCTACTAAATAGAAGCAAAACTCCTTCCTACCTCTGATTTCTGCTAGCCTGCTAAGGGGCCCTGTGCTCTGGTTCTCTTGGGTAGATAGCATTTTGAACCCTAGTCAGATCCCGGGGAGTGGAGGCCAGGGTGGATGGGAGGGGATTGAGGAGCAGGCTAAGGCTAAGGCCAATGGTGAGGGTGTGGACCACAGACTAACAGCATACAGGTGAGAGGCTGAGGTCCAATCATGCGGTCATCCTCAAGAAGGTTTGATTACCAAGTACAGTATTTATCATCATTATTAATCACTACTGGCGCTGCTGCACAGAGCCTGGGGCTGCCAGCTGGGCCTCTGTTCTGCCCTGGGGATGATCCCTTCCCTTTCCCTGAAGTTGGAGCAGGGACTAACCCGTTTCCTGATCCAGGACTCCAGAGTGAGTGATTCAGGTGCTGAGATCTTATCCACCCTCTCAGAGTCTTTTGAGCATGCTCTCCTTAGGTCAGGGGGGGAGAAAAAGAGGACAGCCTTCCAGGGCAGGCACTTCCAGGATGGAGCCTTCGCTGCCCTCTAGACCAGAACAAGACTTTTTCTAGCACTTTGAAACAGAGTGGGGTAAATGCTGGGAGGGGGGCTGAGCTTTCCTGCAGTGGGGCTTCTTCGCATGTCACCCAGTCTCTGGGGAAGGGAAAAGTCAGAGCGTCCAAGTGAGAGAGGTGATTTATGTTTCCAAGAGGACTGTCCACCCAATAGGAAAGCAGGACTTGGACTCTCCCTTGATTCCACTGGTGTCCCTGGGTGTGCAACACAAAACTCACTGCTCTCGCTCCAGTCGGGGCAGAAGCATAGCGACCCTATAGGACAGGGTGGAACTGCCCCTGTGAGTGTCCAAGACGGTGGCTCTTAACAGGAGTAAAGGCCTCATCTTGCTCCCTCCACCAGCTGGTGGTAACAAACTGCAGACCTTGTGAATCACAGGGAGACCGGTAACCACGCAATGTCAGGTCTAGAGCTTAAATCCAGAGACTCACTGCCCCCCAGCTGTCTGCATTCAGAGGTCTGCCTGTGTTTTGTTTTCTAATGAACATTGCTGAAGGGAAGGAGAAGAATAGGTGATAGGCACTTGGAGATTCACTACATTGTTAATGCCCCCTCAATTAAAGAAAAAAAGTGTCCCATAAAATAAAACATGACTCCATTAACCATCCATAAATATGACCTCTCTATTCTGCTATGCCACAAATATGCAGAGAATTAAGACCAAAGGGGGTGACCGATAGTCCTCCACTCTCCTACCACTTGCCTAACGTGGACTGAGTTTACACTGCACAAAGGGGACAGCGAAAAGTTGGTTGCTAGTGTTGAAGTGTTTACAGTCTAGAAGGTTGGCACCTCTGCCACGCCAGTGCCACACAGTGCCTCTGTCTAGCCCCAAAGAGAGCCTCCAAGGTGGACAGAGATGGCTGCCTTCTTATTCTCAGAAAAGTGCCCAAGTTCCAGATGTCCTACAGACTTCACAGTGTCACTCCAACATGCACATGGGGGGCTTCTAGGAGCCAGGACCCCAATGGGCTGGTCTAGATTTGAATCTTGATCCTGCCACTTATTGGCTGGCTTGATTCGGGCAAGGTGGCTAACGTCTCTGAGACTCTGTGTCCTCAACTATAAATTAAATGGAGACAATGACCTGTGAGTACCTCCCTCACAGGATTGCTGTGGTGATTAAAAATGTCATACATGTGAAGTACTAGTAGCATATGGCACATGGCTAAGTACTATAAAACTAGTAATACTAGCAACTATATTCTAATAGACTCGCATATACTAATCCGAGCTTCAATTTGTTATCTGACACAACTGTCCTCTGGCACTAAATTATTCCCTGGGAAAGAACTACTGTAAGCATCCATGTAACATTGGGACCCACTGTTAACCAGCAGTCTTGGGTCTTTTCTACATATCATCAGGGAGAGCCTTCTTTCTTCCACTGCAACCGAGAAGGGTGGACGCGGGCAAACACAGAGCTCCTCCACTGGCTCTGGGTTCCATTGAAGTGGAAACATCGCCGCAGCAGCCTCTGAGGTCCTCTGCAGGACAAAGACAGTCCATCTTGATGTTCCTTCTCTGCTCCAGGAAGCATCCCAGATGCTGATGACAACCTATGTGTAAGTCTGCTGGAAGCGATTGATGGATGGATTGCTATAAAAGCTGTAAGAGCCCCCAATAAAATGATCTTTAAAAA